GAGCATCTACAAAAGAGATATCAAAATGTCTAACTTAGTAATACAAGTAAGAAAAGACACCAATAATGTTTTCCAACCGAACAGTAGCATGACATGAAATAGCATCTCTCCCCCTTTGATAGTAACTTCAAATATTTTTTATTTCATTAGTAAATGGTTTTTTATTAAGTTTTATCAAATCTCTAACTCCCAGCTCTCACTGGAACCTAGAATCTTGGTCGCCGCTCATCCTTCTTCTTCCCTTTTTTGGGAACCAAACCCATAAACAAACTGTCAAATCGAGGCCCAGGTCAAGTTCATGAGGAGAGACCTGATCGTTCTCATAATTGAAAACCCAAAGATTCAAGTGACCCTCGATTCGAACCTACCAAAGATTCAAGTGACCCTCGATTCGAACCAAAATTCCCAGCTGAGGATGGTAGGTTTGCTCGCCCATGTGGATCGAAGGCGTCGCAAGGATCGTACACTGCTATTGTAGGAGATTCGTAGACACTCGCTCAAGATTGTTGAATGGTGGCGTTTTGGACCATCGTCTTGTTGATTTCAGCCATGCGTGACTGAAACTCAACTCGTCGTAAGGAAATCGTTAGCATCAGGTTTTGTACCTCTCAAAATTGAGCCACCCAGTGATTAGGTCAAGACTCACTTTTGGCCTCCACCACGGTGGTGGTAACAACCGTTTGTACAGGTGCTCCCAGTAGAACTGAACCTTGGTTTTGGATACCAATTGATGGAACTCATTTCACAGAAAGGGGAAAGAAAGAGAAAATGCAGAGAAAGTAAGAAAGTAGATAACAACATTCTTCATTCATACCCTTTCTACATCATAAAGGGGTTTAAATCCATCTAAAGATAATAGAGTTTGAGGTGATGGAAATACATATATAATGGGCCTAATTAGTTCTAATAGAAATCCAATAGCTTAGAGTCGCATCATCCACCTCTTTGTCTTTGTGCATTTCTTCTACGCGTCATCGAGCTCGACGATCTTGTCCTCAGTGACGATGGGGACTATAGCCATGTAAGCAGTGGTGGTGGATACAGATAAGATGATGGCGGCAATGGGGAGGATGTGGTTGTGAAGGAAGTCTGTGTCTTCCTATGTTTAGGTTCCCGGTGAAGAAGGTATGGGCCACTTTGGTTTAATTTCCTTGTAGGGTCATTGCGTAAGTCTAGTCCCAAATTGGGGTTCACAATGGCCACGTGAACATATAATTGAATAACTAACAGAAAATTTAACATTGAAATGACACACTAACAATTGTATAAAATTGAAATGTTTTAAAGATGTTGTATGAGGTTGCGATCGGCTACAAACCTGAGGGGCGAAATGTAATTTACCCTTCAATTTAGATTTCAACTCATCGTCTACGTCTGGTACCACAAATTCTATCATCTGCACCAAATTCATCTTCTACATCTACATCCTCACTTTCTTCTATTTCGAACTCGTCCCTTATCGAAATCCAATTCAATAACTTGCTGCTTCAAAAGTACACAAATATAACACAACTTATCACAACCCAACACAAGTTTTACCCGTATATATCTAAAATCGAATTTCAAGAATTTCCTGATATCTATTTGTAACAATCCAGCATTACGGAGTCAAATTCTTCGAAATAAAAAGCATCGTACAAACGTACCCGGAATAGATTTTGATAACAAAAAACTTGGACCTTAATTTCGAAAGGGGAACGAAATGGTAGAAGCTGTACAACTTGGACCAAATGACCGAAGCAGTGGAGCGATACGAACCACCACACTCCATAATTGGACAGCGGCCGCGACGGCGACAATGGTATGAGCGTCATATCTTCACAAAACATGTTCACAGTAGTGGGATTTGGAGTGCTGACCTTCAACACTTAAATCGAGATGTAAAGGTTGTAGAGGAACCACCCTTGTGAACTTAAGTCAAAACTGACCTTTATTAAAATAGAGAGGCAGGCTTCTTGCAGCTATAGACATTCATAATTCCCACAAATTGAGCTTCGAAACTCAACTTTAGAGCTTCAAGAGAGATGGCGAGGTGTTCCATCTGCGATGTTTTGTACAAGGAGCTTCAATCCACCTGTAATCGCCTCCTCCCAGTCTGCAATCACCTTCTCTTCCCTAACTCTCTCTCCTTCCGACAAGGATGCGCGTAGATCACACCAGGTCCTAAAGACCCATTTCAACTCGTGAGATTACGGTCCACACGGATGGTCCGCGCTAATTGACCGCATAGTAGACACGCCCAAAAATGTACCGACCATTCATCCATCTTAATACTGGTATGGAAAGGGTATAAGCCCAAAGCCTTATCCCATGTCCTTGGCAACCAACCAATTTTAGGGCAATGTGTAGAAGTACTTTTAAAATGATTAAAAACAATTTTGATCAAAGTGTTTGATGAAAAGCGTTTTTGGAATCAATATTTATTATGTAAGTGAATCCTGAAAAAAACACTTGTTTCATGCAAGAACCACGTAACTGATGCTTGAAAAATGCACTTTAAATGCTTTTGGAACATAAAAACACTTTTATCAAAAATGCTTTCAGTTATTAGTGAAGGTACCGTTTGGTATGTAGGATGAGACAAAACGAAGTGGGACGGAACCCCTTCTTCCCATGTTTGGTACGCCAAAGACAGTGGACGCACTGTCCTACGGAACGAGTTTTGGTTGAATTTTCGTTCCACCTCACCTCCGAGAACGACTTGTTCTACCCCGTGGAACATAAAATTAAAACATTTTAAGACAAAAATACCCCTTATCTTTTTCAATATTTACACCATCCAAATCATAAAACAAACCCTAAAATTCTATCATCTTCGTTCCATCTTCTCTGCCCCTACCTTTTCCCATAGCCTTCCTCCTCATCCTCTCCCGTAGCAGCTGCATCTCCAGGTTCGATCTTGATCTTCTCCAGTCGCCACTGCATCTCCAAGTTCGATCTCGATCTTCTCCCTTAGCCACTGCATCTCCAGGTTCGATCTTGATCTCTATATATCTTTAATTTAGCTTCTTTTTTTTTTGTTGTGTTTTACTTTTTCGTTTTCTTGATTTTTCCATATAAAATTTCAATTTTCAGGGAAAATAGGATGATTATGAGAAAATAAGTTAGTTTTCTTGGTTTCTCTAGTTTAACTTGTGCTTGGGAATTGTATTTGATTAGTGGTATGTTTGTGTTTTGGTTGTAAATCTACACAGAGTAAATGACCTAAGAGTACAAACTTAAACTCAACATCCATTCTTTGCGGTTACATTGTGAGCAGGTATTTGTGCTCTGTGCTTTTGTTTCTTGTTTACGTGTTAATATTTACCAACCGCATCCGAGTGTGCATATTTTGAAATGTTAGCACCTCATTACTCGACGATTTTCTTTCGTAAAAAAACCCCTTATGCTTCACCATGTGTTTCATCATGTAACTGCTAGCTATGAGAAGGAACCCGTAGTGAATTATTCTTTTGAACTTGTTGAAATATAGAAGGGTCTCTTTAGTAATCACCAGCATTTGGTTTATCTATTCTCTTGTTCTAAGTGGAGCCAATTTCTGAGGCTAATTAGTTTTGTGGTATATGGTATACAAAGAAATTATTGATTTCAGAATTCAGTTGACTCTTACCAAGAAGATTTAAAGGTCGTAGTCAAGGTATTCTTCATGCCTTTATGCTCTAACATGTGCAGAGATTTTATGTCTTATTTGTTAGATAAACGTACAGAAGGGTCCACTTTGATTAATGGATTATTTTCTTTGCTAATGCAAATCCGTGATACGCTCAGATAAGCAGAAGGTATAGAGAATTTTTTTTTTGTAGCCTTGAGTTGAACTTGATCTAGAGCTAATGCAAATGGATCCCAATTTCTGGAATTCATGACAAGTATCCAGACAATTTTGACCTTGATATATTAACAATGGTTGTGCAGAGAAAGAAGAAGATGATTATAGGCTACCATAAGAGGGAGGTCAATGAATTTCATTACCCTTAAAAACGATTGAATTTCATATATTGTGTTCTAGAAAATGAGTAATCAATTGCTAACGCGAAGGTAAGCTATATTAAGTTTTGGTCCATTTTCGGATTATTTGATTCAATCCTGTGTTGCATGTTTAAGATTCGTCTTGGTGAAGCTGATTAAGAATGTACAAATTGAAATTGTTGTGGGTGGTCTCAAATTTGGGTAAGAACCGTAAGTCTCTAACAATCTTCCTTATCTCTAATACTCTTCCTCTTTTCTTATATGCTATACTTATATTTAATTTGACATTCCCCACGCGCTGGCCAAAAATGCTAGTCGTATTCTATTGCTACTCAGTACTCCACTCCTTTCTCTTCCGTTTTTCTATAGATGGGGGTGTACACTTTTGTATAAGATAAAAGATATACAACCCAAGAGAATTCATCCAACATAACATAGATAATCATATATGTGTTCAAATATGAACAAGTTCCAAAAAAAAAAATTGTCTCGTCCCGTCTCGTTCTACGCATAAACATTGTACAAAACAACAGACGAAACAGAGGTAAGTTAGTCATTTAATCTTTTGGTTTCGTTCCGTCCTGTGCTTACCAAACGCAAAACCTAACAACTGTCCCCATTCCGTCCTGCGCGTACCAAACATAACATGGAACTTCCGTTCCGTTCTGTCTCGTCCTGTTTGCGTACCAAACGGTACCTAAAAGCACTTACAAACGAGTTCTTAGCAAAATACACTAAGTACTTAATTACATGATTCATCATCAAGAGAGCAGATAATAAATTTTTCCATGTGCCTCTACTTATTTTATGACACGTGGATAACACTTGAATACTCGGAACTTTGAAAAATTTCGCCATCATTCACATGAATTCTTTTATCACACGGTTTAGAAATCGTTTAAGTTCGATTAATGTTATTAAATTTTAATGTTTAAGTGAGTAACATGATTTGTCTATATATTTATTCGATAACATTAGATGACAATGATTTTAAATTTTCTTAATTTTCTGTAAAGAAGATTTTTATAGAGTGGTGTTAGAAAATGGACGATTCAACTTATTATACAACATTACAAGATGAAAAAGAAAGTCAAGAAAAATATAATAAGAATGTCCGTATCAAAGAATGTGGTTAGTATTCCCAACATAGTTTGCCAGCATATAATTGGGGCTCACAAACCTTTGTAACTTAGTAAGGCACGCGAATTTTAATCAAATTCCTTTTCTTTAAAGAAGAGTTTAGTAAGGTTTCTCTCCAGCAGAATTTCCAGCCGGATCATAGTGGCACACAACATAGGAACTTCCATCGGCACACTCCGCTTTGCCACACCCTACGAGACCTGAGTCACGCCATACCACCTGCGTGTAATGGCCACACTGCTTGCCCGGGGCACAAGCGTTGGTGCTGTAATCATAATCCGCCTTCTCTCTCACCCATCCTTCCACAGCCATGGCAGCGGATAAGTCACCGTCAGGGCTTACTGCAATATTTTCACCAAGACCTGTACCGGAATGCTTAAGTGCACAGCCGCCGGTGGCCTGTTTGTTTGCATAGTTTTTGGCGCTCTCTGCCAGCCCCTCGTCCCACTCCATCAGCACAACACCCACCTCCGCTCGAGCGGCGTTGTGGGCTTTCACATAATCATCGGGTGAATCTTGTGCGCTAACTAATCCTAGCAGGCAAAACAAAAGTAAGGGTAATGAAATATTGTTCTTGCACAAACCTTCCATGTTGATTAATATTTAATCGTAATAATCTTCGGCTTATATCTGCTGGAAGAGATTTTGGGGCGATTGATTGATGGGAAATCAATTGAGACGTACGTCTGCGTTGGTGTATTTAGTTATGATAATATTTATAGGATGAATTTCTTTATTTTTGTGGATGTAGAAAATAAATTCTTTATTTTTTATTTTTGTATGACCTTTAGCCATGGAAGAACCCCCTATAAGTCGCCAAAACACCTGCGCCATGCAGAACTGAAATAGCTTAGTGTGCCAATTGTAACACCGCCTTAAATACATTTACAAGAAACTGAAACTAAAATTAATCACCTAAAAAAGTAACTGAACCTAATTATGATTTCAAATTCCGTCAAGTTGGTCAAAGGTAATGACCTTTGATCACCATATTGAGGCCCTTCTTACCAAATGAATCTATAAATTTTCCAACTTTTGCCGTAGCTATATATGGAGCTACTGATGATAGTTGATTATCCCACAAAATGCGCCCATGCCACATATGGTTGTAACTTTGTACATACCTTACGCTACAGCATAATTATAGCACTTGTCAAGATCATCTACAACAACCGAAATTTTATGATTCTAATTATGCGCGGCACAAGGCGTTACTTCTGACATCTAAACAAATACTAATGAGTCTGCACGCAAATTAAGGGTTGGCTTGATAATTACTTTGAGAGTAAACTGGGGATTTAATCTTTGCATAAGATTGCAACGTGTAGGTCTTTACATGCTTATCCGTTCACCTTGTCCCATTCTGGGTTTTAGAATTTTAAAGATTGCGTGTCACTAAGAGGACTTCCTTCTCAATTCGAATTTCGTGCTTGTCCTTAGCGAATCTTAAATAAAAGTTTGTTAAGGATTTGGTCGTTTGTATAGGGGTCCGAAACACCTTTAAAATCCATTTGTCAAAACCTATACGCTAGACCTAAACGTTTTCGATTAGACTATGCTTAACTGGCTTGGCTAAGGCACTTTCGAGTATCAGAGCTCCATTGGAACAAAATTCCTCTTCAGAATTTCCCAGTCTTGATGCCTCATTCGAACCTATTTAACATTGTGTTGCAGAACGTACTTGACTTAAAACGCGGTCCGAGATAGAAGTAATCATACTCGGGTTTGGGACATAGAGCCACCCCTCGAAAGATTCTTGAATAGCCCTTTTGATCATTCACTCGAATGGCGTAGAGCCCAGGTTTGAATGTTATAAACCACAATCCTTAGGTTGTATAATCTGTCCGGAAGCTGGATGGTGTATGGGACATCCCATTGGGGACCATGTCCCCGTGCCCGTAGTTTGCCAATTGTAATCGTGCTTAATACAGTTCAAGACTCCTAAGCTGCTAACCGATTAATACGAAGTGGACTAAAGAAGACTTCTTCGACACTATCTTTGAATTTTTAGATTTTGAATTAAGCGAAATTTCAAAGTTGTGTGTTATTTGGGCTTTTACAGTATTCCCACTACTATAAAAGCAAAAGAACGAACAAACGAGGTGAAAGTTGCTGCATAATAAATTCTTTATTTCACTAGAAATTTGACAGGGGACGCGATTGAATCCGAAAATGATTGTCTTCTTAACTCCACACTAGGGAGATGCATTGGTTGAAAAGCTCTCCCATAAATCAAAATCCCCATTGCAAAATTAGAAACAGCAGGGGAAGTTTTTCACAGTAAAATTCAAGGTGGAGGAGGGTCTTAATGTAAATTACATATTAACAAGGCCGTCTCCTAGATTTCGAGGCCCTGTGTGAAATTTATAAAATGGCTCCTTTTTAAGATAGGTTTTTTTTTTTTAATTTTTTTAATTATTATTTTTTATTAAGACAATATATTGGTACTATAAAGTAATAGTATAAATCAAGACAAACTTTAAGACTCACTAATTGTAAGTTTACAAATGTCATTAAATAATAAGTAAAAAGAGTTACAAACTTAACCTTTACTATATACACAAAACTAATTCAATCTTAGGCGGTGACTAGTATGGCTTAGTGATGATGGTAGCAGAGGCTCAGGCGGTTAGGGAAGGGACGGAGGCGATTATTAACTGTGAGATTATGGAAGATGGCATTCGGTTGGTGGTGGAATCGGACTCGAAGGGGTTGGTTCAGTGTTTGAACAAAGAGGCCATAGCTGATGTGTCTCTTGAGGTTTATCTCCATGATATTTGGAGAATGATGAGGTTCTTCCAGTTGGTAAAGTTTTGCTTTACCCCTCGGCAATGCAATCGTGCAGCTCATTCGGTGGCAGCGTGTTGTTAAGCATGACGGGAGGTTTGGCTGGGATGAGTTAGGTCCTGAGTTTCTTTTTAATTTTTTAGTGGAAGATGCAAATGTATCTATTTGTATTTAATTCAATAAATTTCTATCTTTCGACCAAAAAAAAAACTCTAACTTTAAAGTTTCACTAGAATATATAGCATTATTATACAATACACTGAAAAGAAAATCATTTTTAAGGTGTTATTGACACTCCTAATCTCTTATGTGCACCCCAAATTTTTATATTTAGAAAGAAAAAAATTTACACTTATAAGAAGTGCACTATGAGATTTTAAAGTGCTAATAAAAGTAATTTTTTTAATATATAACATTATTACATATAAATATAAGATACCACTACTTAGTACTACAGTCTAGTGACATTCCTCTTCACTTGTAAGTAAGAAATCTTAAGTTCGATTCTTGCCAAAAACGAATTTCAACCATATTATTGCTAGCCCATTGTAAGGTTTAGCCCACTCTTCACCCCCTTAGTATAAATAATCATTTGTTCAAAACCCTGTGTGATTACACCTTTTTCTCCCCTTTAATGCCGCTTCTGCATATTAATAGAACTCTCTTTGTCATCTAAATTACATATTAATAGAACTTTCTTTGTCAACCAAAAACCATTGAAATTACAATTATAACATTTAATACATAAATAAAAAATGTTAAAAAGAAAAAAAAATGTGAGTATTAAAGTAATTTCATACAAACAACTTTTTACTATTTTTTTTTCTAAACCTCACAGCCATGTCACTCTATCGAGAAAAACTTGTGTCTGGTTCGACTTGCCACTAGAATGTGCTAAGTGGCACTACCACCCACTCAAAACTTGACATTTGTTAAAACATTGAATATAAGAATTGTTTAATAGTTTCAGAATATTAACATAAAACCTAAAAAAAAATATTTAAAAGTAAAAGGTGAAAACATGAAACACAAACCCCACCCCATTCCAGCTCCATCGGAAAGACGAAGGGGTGGAGGTGGCAGATAGAAATATTGATCTGATAAGAAAGCTTTTGACAGCTTATATGTCAAAGTCACAAAGGTGTTCATATCTGAATTATAAAGATGTTGACTTTGGTACAAATGGAAATGGCAGTCTCTTACAGCTTGGGAGATTAAAATGGTTGAGTAAAGGAAAAAGGATTTCTATACAATTAGTGTACTGGTATGATTGATTGAAAAAAGTGATCGAGAAAAATAACAAGGTTTTTCTAGGTTAGATGAAGTGAACAAGATTCAAATATATTTTTGGGCATGGATTGATTTAATGATCGGAGTGGGTGGGAATGGCAAGGAGAAGGGAGGAGGTGCGCTTGAGAATTTATTTTAATTTTAATTTTTTTTTTTGTCGAAATGTACTAATAAGGGAGGAGGTGCGGTTGAGAAAATTAAGCCTTTATGTTTGTGTTGACCCTCAAAACTACTAAGCCTACGTGGCGCGCAGGCCGAGTAACTAATGAGCTAACTACGTCATTCGGTTGTATGTGGGTGTGACAACTCGTCAGCCGAGGAGTAAAATATGTTGATGTTGTGTTGGATACGCTGCTAACTTCTTGATCCTACGATTGCGGCCGAGAAAGGAACACGTCTCGGCCTTCGGGTTCTAGAGTCTGAAGACAAGGTTGCTAGTTCTACAAAGTTCACAAATTGTTGGTGTCGGATTTGGTCATGGTGATTATATTCATAAGAGTATAAACACGCCGAATCGACACCAGACTATATGGACACAAATATTCAAAGCAAATGTACGTCTTAATCGTAAATGTGGTTCAGCCGTCAGAATGCCAAACTCTAAACCCAACTTGTGAGTATCCAATCATAAAACCACTCGACGTTCAATGCATCGAGTCTAGTGATTCGTAACACCTCATTTTGCCGAGAAGGCTCGTGAGACGACCTCTGCCAATAAGGATTCGAAAACCCTTCTCGATCGAGACTTGGATAGATAACCAGTCAGCCTTGATGTAGTACTGTTTATCCAAACTAAATGTGCTTCGCGGTCGGCTGATTCTACAGCGACAATGTTGTTTATCCAAACTGAAGATGTTCGCCGGTTGCCTTCACAGTGCTGTTTATCCAAACTGAAGATGTGTCAGCAAAAAAGAAAATAAAAAATCTCAAGGTTGTTGAGAGGTTTCGCGTAGAGCGAGAGTTTGCTTAGGACAATTTATGTGTTGAATTGGAGGGGTTGAATGTGTGTTCATCCTCTGTATTTATAGTAGCGAACTTACTTCTGGCCAAGTTAGAACCTAACCCAAACTAGGACTCCTCATCCTGATCTAACTAAGACTCGGTCAATCCTACTTTAATTAGGACTTTGAACACATCTGCACAACGAACCAGGTTCTTTCCGTGCTCCTTAGTGCCTTTAGCTTTAACATTCCTAGGGGTTTAAGGATTCATCCTTCATCTTTATCCAAATGAATCCTTCTCATAAAGGGACTTGATCGACAAACAGCTTAGACAACCCCTAGTACCCAGCCGGCCCATGATCCCCCTTACTACCACTAGATCAAGAGTCTCGGCCCATTTGTTACCTTCGGCCCAAAGCATTGCTTTGGACCCAAACAGTTTGTTATTCGATTTTAATAACTAATTTATTATGTACTAATTTATTTTTTAATTTTTATTTAAAATTAGTATGGAGTCCTTTATTAATTTAGTTTAACAAATGGCAAGTTTTGAGTGAGTGTCAGCACAGTCTAGTGACAAGTTGAGCTCCACACAAGTTTTTCTGCATTCTATCACTACCCTTTAAACTCTCTCTCTTTTTCTCGCCATAATTGCCAACACCTTTTTATGCCTGCCATAATTCCTACCATAAAAAAAAATATTTGAAAAAAATAAAAATTATATTTCTCACATATGGAGTGTGTGACCTTTGCTAGTTTATATTTAACTAAGTAATTATATATATATTTTTTGAAAAAAAAAAGTAATTATATATTTCAATTAGTTTTTTTTTTTGGCATTCTTAAATAATAAAATATATTTTTAAACTTTTTGCCACGTAGCACAAATTTGATAGTTAGCGAATATGTGAGACCTCTACTTGCCAATTCATCAATTAACAATTAAACTCATGAATTTTTTAACGGATGTCTGACATTGTAAA